TCTGTTTTTTTTCTTTGGCTGTCATCAGCACAAAATTAATAAACGTTATAAAGTTATTGTTTGTCTATAAAATATTTTTGTATCCTAAATTTAAAAGGTTGTGACATTAATTTATTTTGATTTTGATTGCAGTAAAATCCTAGTGTACGTTACATGCTTAGCGCCATTTTGAAAAAAGTCGTGACTCACAAATTTACAAATCTCAAGCTAAACAGCAAAATCACACCACAAATTCCAAAATGCAATGGGATACCTGCATGTGACGTAGTGAGGGTACCTCGATTCTAATTGGTTGTTGAAACGTGGCATTCGTTTACGTTAGCAACTGTTCTTTCCATTCTATTTCGGGTAAGTCATCCCCGTCAAATATCAGTTCTCTTAAGTGACACATTCTAAATTCTTTCACAAAGATTCTTTCTCAAAGATTTCAGTTTTTCACTATATATTTACACAAAGACAGGCGCGAAGCCATGTAGAACATAAAAAAAACTACTTATTCATCGAAGTTGCCAGGTACACAAAACAAAAATATATCACAGTTATAATAAAATACGTAAACAAATAATAAATCTAAGTTAAGTAAAAGAAGTAGATGAGAAAGAATTATATTTCAACTAATACGGAGTGCTATACGGCTCTATATTTAATTAACTCAAATTCATATCAATTATAAAATTTTGCTGTGTAGTATGTTATCTAAAAGTAATGAAGGGATAAACTATGTATCTATTATTTGAGAATAAAGTTTTCAAACAAGAGGAACTTATCATTTTGGAATTCTCCGGGAATTATAAATCAGGTAAGTGCAATGATTTTTACAATAAAAAATTTGCTTGTAAATAATTTTTTTTTCTTCATTCGTTACTTAGCATTCTAACTTATGTAGAGAAACTTAGTTCAACTTTAATACTCCCTTTTGCTGATAAAGATTTGCTGGCGCTGTCGTCATGGGTCACATGTGTGGCTATGAGAGGTCTTTTTCTTCTTGAAGTACAAGTATCCAGTTTTATTTTATTTTATAACTGTCGTTGAACATCTTTTGGGCTTACTAATGTTCAACTTCTTAGTCTTGTAATTTTGAACCCAATCCGGAAGACAAGGGAACTCCTGTATCAAGTATTGGGAGATATTTGTCTTTGTTGAGAATTTTTTGCTAGAACTAACCAGGATTTGCGTTACATGGAGAGGAAAACCTTCCACGATTAGTCTGACGGCAAGGGGACTCTAACACATGATCCGTCTACCACTGAGGATATTTCAAGTCAGTTCTGTAGTCTGTGCTAACCGGTTACGGAATTCGTATCGACCAGCCATTGCTGGGATTCGAACCCGGTTCACCTCATTGGAATGCGAACATTCTGTCCCCTGAGTCATCAAGTACCCAAGTGCAAAATGGCTAAAAAGCGATAACTAACCGAATCTCGCCAAATCTAAAACAACAGATTGCAAACTTTATCGTCCTCGTAAGCATCGCTAATGTCGCCAAATCTACCGAGTAACGCATACTAGGGATTAAGCCTTGATTGTTTTTTAAATTATAAGTTTAAAAGTAAAAGAGTTGTTTTTTTTTTTGTATTAAACATAATTTTATGTTACCTTATTTGAATCGGGGTCATAATAACAATATACCTTAAATTTTAAATATTTAATTAGAAAAAAGAACAGCAACGACGGAAAAAAAATTATTACTAAACAAAATTATTTATGTTTACTAATCGATCTTAATAAAATCATAAGGAAATTAGATTCATGGATATTGTTTCTATTTTTTACCGATCAAATTTGACTCGAAATAAAAATTTAAATTAAAAAAAGGAATGTTGCACTTGGGAAGTTGATGGCACAAGCGCAAGCAAATGTAATTCTTTATAGAGTAAATAATTTTAACTTTCGTAGAAAAAACGGTTTTATGCTCAGGAACAACAATTATTGCAAATCAATCGTCGGGGTTGGTAATCGGCTGCAAACCTAATTAGCAATTAGTTTAATTATAGGCTTAGCAGTTAGCTTAATTATAAGTCTGCATAAACGTTTACTATTGATTGGTTGTTTGCTCCTAAATGCAATAATATTTTCAAATATTTCATCATCGTGTTACGTTCTTGTTTCCAAACCAAAATGGATAGAAATATTTTTGATTAACCCGCCATTTCATAAAATAAGCCTTCTACATAAAAATTATAACCCCCTTAAGAATTAAAACCACGCCATGATCCTTTGTTTATTGTTCTGTAATCCCATTCAACGGAAACTTTTACTTTCATTTTTGCCAATTTAATGTCAAATATTATTTGTTTTAGTATTCAACAGAGTAATAAACTTATTTTCTCATTAATCCAATGCAATTATAACTAACCAAATGGGTTAGATCCATTAAAAAAGCGAAATTCACATATTTTCCATTGTTACCAAAGATTTTTTTTTTTTGTTCAACCACGCCTTTTTTTTCAGCTGGTCCAGGCACTTCACCTTTTACGTTGTTTATCATTTTCATAAACATAATCACTAACACTTTTCTTTAAGCGATCGCGAATAAATTACGTGTTTAGAGTAACATAAATCCATTTTGAATTACAGGTTTGCCCAAAGATTTCCATTTCGAATATCAGCGGTGGTGAGATATTATAATTTAAGTTTATAGCCTAAAAAACTTGTTGTTTACAAATAGTTATGAAAAAATACCAGATTTCAATTTTGATGGTAGGGTCTGTCTTCTCACCCTATCGCATTTAAAATCTGCAGGGTTCATTGATTTTTTAATGTAAGAAAACTTATGCCATTTTTATTTTTTTGGAGAAAGTCTAGCGTTTTTCAATTTAATTTAATACGTACACATTATAATATAAATTATTATAATTAAATGAAAAACAAGCGTTTAAAAAATAAATAAAAGTGAACTTAGTATTTGGTCAATAAGAAGGCCAGAGACTAAATTTTTTGAAGTCAAGTTTCGTTCTGAATATGATATGCTATTATTACTTTTGAAATTAATTTTCTGACTTTCAGTGCGATTTTTTTTCTGTGCTTTTCCGACTCTTTTTTGTTTTAAAATGCATTAAGTTAAAAGTGATGCAAAGAATATAAAGTAATATTGTAAAAAAAAAAAAACTTTGCACAAATAAAAGTTTTAACAGTTGTCTTACACTATTTTACAAAAACAAGGTACTTTATTTTGAAATGGGAGCAAAGCAATTTGAAAGCAACCAAAATGACTTTTGTAAGATTAGATCGAAATAAGGTTATTTTTAATGTGTATAAAAAGCATTACGCATAATTAAAAATGTGTGAGCCAAATTGGAAATTATTTCAAAATTAGTCCCTAGATGCATCTACTCGAAAAATTAATAGTGTATATAGTTAGGTCGAAATGTTTTATTATTATAGGAATTTTGCAAACAAATTCGGGTCAAGTTAAATAAAGAAAAAAAAAGGAATAATTAAAATATGAATTTGATCAATAACAAAGCCGTGGTGGCTCAGGGGATAGAGCGTTCGCCTTCCAATGAGTTTAACCGGGTTCGAATCTCAGCGATGGAAGGTCAATACGAATTCCGTACCCGGCTCTCACAGACCACAGTGCTGACGTCAAATATCCTCAGTGGTAGAAGGATCATGGGTTAGACTCCCCTTGCCGTCAGGTTAACCATGGGTTGTTTTCGTAGTTTTCCTCTCCATGTAACTCAAATACGGTTTAGTTCCATGAAAAAGTCCTCCACCAAGACAAATTTTCTCTCGATACTTGATACAGGAGTTCCTTTGTCTTCTGGATTGGGTTCAAAATTGCAAAGCTATGTAGTTGAACATTACTAATCGTAAACCCAAAATCGGGTCGGCAGTTCAACGACGGTTATAAAATAAAATAAAAAATCACAAAGCATGAGCCGTGGCGGCTCAGGGGATAGAGCGCTTACCTCCCACTGAGTTGGCCCGTTTTCGAATCCTCAATAGCTGGTCCATTAGAATTGCGGTTCCAGCTTGCACCAAAGACAGTGTTAACGTAAAATATCCTCAGTGGTAGACTGACTGATCATGTGTTTGAGTCCCCTTGTGGGAGCTTTTCGTGATTTTCCACTCCATGTAACGCAAATGCTGGTTAGTTCCCTCAAAAAGTCCTCCGCAAAGGCTGATTTCTGCCAGTGCTTGATCCAGAAGTTATTTTGTCTACTGGATTGTGTTCAAAATTACAAGGCTACGGAGTTGAACATCGGTAATCGTTAACTCAAAAAATCGGGTCGGTGGTTCAACGATAGTTATGAAATAAAAATAAAATTACAAAACAAAAAAATATCTCAAATCATATCTAGCAAAGCTGATCATTCAATTCAACTCTACTTACCAAAATATTACTCACTAAACTAACGAATCATTATGCTTCTTAAAAAAATCAATAATCGCCGCAGACTATAAAAATTATAACACAAATAATGATAGTTATATAAAATAAATAATTGCACAACTAAAAACGTGTTAGTGACTAATGACTGAGATTTTTATAAATATTATAAAAATCTCAGTCATTAGTCACAATATCTTTTTTATTAGTCATCAACAGTATCTAATCTTTGTGGTGATATCTTTAGTAATAAAATCACTACAAAAAAATAAATAATCGCCGTAGACTATAAAAATTATAACACAAATAATGATCTTAATATAAAATAAATAATTGCATAACTAAAAACGTGTTAGTGACTAATGACTGAAATTTTTATAAATATTACAAAAATCTCAGTCATTAGTCATATGATATCGTTTTTATTAGTCATCAACAGTATCTAATCTTTGTAGTAATATCTTTAGTTCAGTATCTTTATAGTAGTAATATCTTTAGTTTAGTATCTTTCTATAGTAGTAATATCTTTTTATAATAAGTCATTTAATATCTTTTATCTTATCTTTTTATCATCTTTATATCTTTTTAACATGAAATATATTCATAATCTAGCTTCTCTAAAGTACCCTATTTGTTTCATGACCAGTTTCTTTTCTTTGTACTTTAGGCTAATGGAAGCACAAAGGGAGTTAGAAGAGTACCAAGAAGGGAGCCGCGATCTGGAGACAGAACTGGAAATTCAGCTGGAGCAAGTGGAGAAAAGAAACAAAGAATTGACCTCAGAAAATACCCACCTAAAAGCAGAAAGTGAGATACTCCAGGTAATTGCATTTTGTTTTTAAAACAAATCTTATAAACGTTGATGGGTTCGTTTAACAAGGAGGATGATCAATAGTTGTGTTCGGGTTTTAGTTTGATATGGATTATTAAGGTTGATAAAAGAAGGGAGTAAAAAATAAAGTTAAAAAAAGCGAAAGGAAAATAGTCGAAAATGTGATATTTTTACTAAATGAAAATGTAGTTTTTACACTAGAAATAATTTCAATATTTTCAATAATCTATTTTTAAAGTTATAAAAAGGGAACACTAATGTTAATTAAATTTTATTTGAAACGTTTATGCAGTTATATATTTTGAATTTTCAACAAACAAAAGTGTATGCGTCTGTGTTTAAAAAATCAAAATGAAGTAGTTAGTTTAATGCTTTATTAATAAAGTATAATGTAATGGTAAAATGAGTCTGAAATTTCTGTAAAAAAATTAATTATTCCTTGAAGACACTTTCTGTTATAAGTAAAATAATAGTGAAATTTGTTTTAATTGTAACTAGATTTCAGCAAACAATGCATACAAATTCCCATTTTTCTGGTTAATAGCTTTGAGGTTCAATAAATCATTTAAACTGAACTATTAAAATTATTTTGAAACTTATTACAAACTACTAGTTTGTTTTATTCCATAAAAATTAAATTAAAACAAATTCACAGTTTTTTTTAATTTATAATTTTGAAGTTCAATAAAAACGTATGCATCTAGCTATCAAAATTGTTTAAAAGTTCTTTACGAGACATAAGTTGATTTTCTAAAATAAAAAATTAACATTTAATAAAATCACATTTCTGAGATTTAATAAAAACGTCGCCTTTCAAACGTTGAAAATTCAAAGCACATTACTCTACCAAAATAATTCAAAAACTCGTTAAAATATTTTCATAAGTTTTATTTAATGAAAGTTATATTAAAATGAAATCAGGATTTTTTAAATGCCATAAATATACAGGAAATAAAGATCTTGCAAATAATATTAACATTTTAAAAAAGTTTATTGAAATTAAAATATGTAATATTAAGCCGTATTTCCAAACTGTTAGGGTGTTTAAATTTCTTTAATTTACAATATCAGTTATTGATAACTTTTTGAATATGAATGAAAAAAAATTTCAAACTACTTTCTTTGGATTTTATATTTTGATGCTTATATAATTCCGATCTATCAAACTTTTTTTTGGCAACTGTCAGAATATTTTTAATAGTTAAAAGAAATACCAAAATGTATTTTTGCTTGTAATTAGAGTGTCAGAAAAAAAATATAAAAGGCCACCGGTATCCCATCTGCTTCAAAGGGTTAACTGTTCCCTAATTTCTCACTGATGTTCTTAAAAAAGTAAATAGTATCGAAAGTTTTATATTTGTTTTTCTGACTTTGTTTTTGAACATCGTGTACAAAACGAAAACAATGGTATGAGACTTTGGAACATAACTAACTTAATAAGAGATAACTGAATGTAAAATATTAAAATTTTAGACAAATCTAAACATGTGATTCTCTTTTACTAATGCAGATATGCATCATATTTTCTCCGCAAGATTTACCAGATTATCAACGTAATCGATGTTATGAGTTCTTTAAAAAATATATAATCTCATTTTGTAGCCTCTACTGGCTATTATTTCTACCGAAATTGGTGCAAAGAGTTAATTTACTTGATGCTGTGATCGCTGTGAACAATGCGACGATATTAAGCATTGTCATCGGCTTAGCCAATAATAATCACTTTTAAAAAGTGTATTTAAAGAACACGCATTAGGAAGATTTTTTTTTTCTCTGAGGGAAGAATACAGCTCTCGTTTCCAATATCATTCCATCAATCGAGTGTACAGAGGAAGTGGGTTTTAGTCCCTAAAATTAAAAGAAAGTGAATACTAGAAAATGGTCACAGTCACATAGTTAAGACATTATTAAAACTTTCTCCTAATCCTGATGGACAGAGGACACGCGACACCGGAGCGCGCGTGCTAACACTTTCCGTTCCATTTTGCATTGTTATCGTCTGCTTTTTTTTTTTACATATTAGAATAGAATAAAGGATTTATTTTTGAGAATTCTATTTGATTGCGTTCAACAGGACTATTTTCACTTAACTATATCCCCTCTATATATTTTTGTTTGAAAATATATATTGTTTAAAGTTTGTTCCTCTAGGTCAAAAAGATTCAAAGTTAGTTCCACTCGTTGCATTTCTCGGTCATTCTTTCCTTAGATTCTATTTCAGACATCTTTTTTCTATACTCGTCAGATTTTGCAAATTTTTTTTCCATTGATTCTTGCGTCTTTTTTTTGTCAATCTCTTTCCTTTTGTTTTTCCTCAGTGAGAGTGAATCTTTATAATTAATTTATTTTGAGTTAATCCGTATAAAGAACTACTAATTAGCTATCGTTTTTTCTCTTTGTGAAACAAGAACAAAAGAAAAGTGTTCTACAAATAGCGTTATATTCTGATTGAGTTACAACACTTTCTGATATTCTTGACTCGTCTTAAAGCTTCTTGCTTTTGTTTTGTTTCCACGTGCATTCATGTTGTAGTTTTCTAACATTGTTTTTGGGTAGAATAGGTCGTAAAAATAAAATATTGAATTTCGTGAAGTCTTGTATGCAATTTAAGAAAACTTAAGCGTGAAGTGTATTTGACTCTTTAATGAAAAAAGTAGATGAAGATCTCGCTTTTTTGTGCACTAAATAAATTTATTTTCGATAAAATTTATGTTCCAAATCATACATTGAAAAAAAAAGTATGGCCTAACTACCAGAGTATCGTAAAATTAACCGTGTTTGTAGCTCAATGGGAATATAAAAAAAGCTCGGTAATTTTTACCGTGAGCTTTAGTGATGATTTTGATAAAATTAACAATAAAATATGATTTGGTAATATTAGGGGGACTGGAAAGTAATGTCATTTCGGTGCATTTGTTATCTGTTATCAAGATTTTATTTTTAATCAATAATGTACTCACCATCGTTAGCAAAAACTTTTCAATGCCGGATCTAAAATGAATCGAAAAAAATGAATTGGTTTTTAAGACTAACGAATATTTAATTTCAGTAACGACATTACTTTCCGGTCCCCCTAATACGTGTTAAAATTTGGTAATTTTATCTACATCCTTAGAGCATACCATTTATTCGGTAAGATTTATTTTTCAGTTGTGTATTTTTTACTAAATGCGTGATAATAAGTACTATAATTTTGAAAACCAGAATTCCAGGTAAGCCGTTACCGCATGAACGGAAAAATTACCAAATGAATGGTTCAAATACCGTATCGTTTGGTTTTATCAACTAGAATTATTTTTTTTTGCCTGAAAAGTTATTATCATACACTACGGTAATTTCATCAGAATTATTTTCGTCGTGTAGTTAACTTTAACTGTTATTCTTTGTTCTTTATGCTGTCATTTGAAATAAAACAACGAGATTCTGAAATGAAAATAAAAAGAGTGCTTTCGAACATTGAAAGTAGTTTACTGTATGGATTAATTCTTTTTACTTCATATCTGTGCATGAATCAACGTGGGAATGGTGAATTCCGTGGGTGTTGGCTATTTGCCTTGAAAATAAATAGCTTATTTGCGTCATATCCACCAAAACATCTACTATGAATAGAAAGAAAAACTTTACCTTTACTTTCGAAACAGTCACTGGGATAATTTGGTTCCATATGTTTTTGTTGAGAAATATTTAGTGTTCAGAAAAAAAGTTGTTAAATTCAGTTATTTATAGGGTGACTTAAAATTCGACAATTAAGAAATTGTACCTTTTTTTTAATACAAATGTATTGTAATTGAAGCACGGCGGAGGAAGAGGCAACGTTTAACAATTATATAAATTTAACTACGGATGTAACAAATATTCGACACTATTCGGTATTTGGCCCATTTTGGCGAATATTCGGTTGACTGAATATTTGGCCTAATATTCGACCGAATGTTCGGCAAAGTATTTTTTGACAATTTTTTTTTTTAAATTTGAATAGATTAAATAAGAATAATTTTACTATACATTTTCAGAAATAGTTTTTAATCTTTTTTTTTTTCAAACTATTCAACAATATCTGCCTTATCTTGGAAAAGAAGCTGTTTTATAGATGTATTAACAACAATTATAAAAGAAATCTTGATAGTTACATGTATTCTATTTTTCTCGGAAGAAATGCTATAATGAAATGTATCGTACCAGTTTTTGCTGTTTTCTGTCTTGCTATATAAGGACTTTCAGCCGTGATGGTTATTATATCACAATACAATGAGTCTAATTATTGAAATCTTGAAAACTTTTAAATCTTCTTAATCTTCCAAATAATTTAATTCAAATATATGACAGGGAAAATAATTATTTCCGTTAACTACAAAATTGGTTCAAGATCAATGCTATCATTTTGTGAAGAAGAAAAAATAGTCAATGTCATTACCAAAAAACTCTTTATGGTAGTTTCCGCATTTAATAGGACCATTATAACGCTTCTAAAATAACTATCATTATTTTATTTTAAATAAAATAAATAAACGTTCGTGGTATCATTTAACATTGATAACTACTTCGAAAACAGGAAATCCATTGTTTAAAAAAATTTCTTTTAGATTTTAAATCATATTTCTTTAAAATAATCAATTCCTTAAATATCATTTTAAAGAAATGTAAAAAGAGCATATAATAATAATCCTCATTATATGCTCTATGCATCTCATTAGAGAACCGCTGTATTAGGATATTAAAAACCTTTTCTATTTTTTTACAGAAAATATTAATTTGAATACTTTGAAATTGTTATGTAAAATATCTGGAAAATTGGTAAATAATTACTAAATGTGTTGTTTAATTATTTTTATTCCCACTGTCTTATGGTTTACCTACACTGTAAAAAAATTCTGGATCAAACTATAGCATTAAATGCCAGCATTTTGAGTGCATCATCCGTAAAATTCATTTTTACCGTAATTCTTAAAGTAATATTTATATAATTATAGTGATTCTGTGATTGTTTAC